AAACTCAACCGCGAAGATAGTCAAATGATTTTATGAAATGTACTGCCTTGTTTAACTGCACAATTATCTTCAAAAATTCATTTGACTGCCTTCCCGATTGAATTTTTAGATGAAATTTGGTATGATTAAACTAGACTTAATGAAGAAGATTTTTCAAAAAAAAATATCAAAAAATTCCACCGGGAACCGCCCAAACGGAACTGCCTCAAATGGCGATGGCCGGACAGAGCCTCCTATATAAGGGGTGATTTGCACTTTTTAAGTTAGTTCGAGGGCCTATTTGACTCTTTTCCCTTAATTTTACTCTTTATTCTAACACTACGTATCTTTCAAATTATAAACCAACTCACAATTGTTGCGTTTGGTTGAGTAATTACAGACAAGTAATTAGAGTTCATGTGCCACATTGTTGTCAGAAAAGTACTCGGTAGTAAGATGTCCTATTTTTTATTTTGTATTTAAGAAATTGGAATTAGATTTTCGTGAGACAGGTCGGATCTACCCAACCCGGTTCCGAGACCCAATAGGTATGGGTCCGGAACATTAGTTCTAGACTCATCGGGTATATGGATTGGGTCTGGAATCCTATACAGACTAACGGGTCCGGGTCTGGGATACTATGTTTCGGCCCGTACCCGACCCGTTGGCAGGTCTAGCTGCAATCTTAGCTTAAATTCAGATATCGATAATTGGACTGCAAGTCTTGAAATGGGAATGTTATATGTTTCCGCAACCGAACAAAATCCGTCTTAGTCCAGGCGGAGAGAGATGATTGCTCCGGGGGAAGAGGCAGCACCCAAGGTCCTTCGACTGCTCTACTTCGCCGGCGCCGGGTGTAAGTGAATTCATATTCCTCAAATAAATACGCACTCTAATACTCTATTCCATGCCCCAGACGTATTTTGACTCGCTCTCCCTGTATATCACTAATGTAGTAATGTCTTGCTGGTATTTGTTGGTTTTCAGTTATTTGCACAGCTGCCATTAACAAGTGGAGAGATCTGAAGAGAAAGCAGCAGATGAGACAACAAGGTGAGTTGTTGGAAAGGCCTTCCAGTGTTGTACAACCGGCACCAGAATAATCCAATTTCTGATTTGAAATGGTGGAAGAATAAAGATCAAACTCAAATGGAGTTCTACTTAAATGGTAGTTGTATGTTTTGATTTTGAGTTTGAATACACTATCATTTTGATGCTGAGAATTGATCTTTAATATTGTTGCATTCATTCAAATAGTTGAATCTGTACGAATTTTATCTTTAAATTTGGATGAATGATAAGCAATTTCATGGTATTGTAAGAAAGAACACAAATGATATACTGTACTCGTATTACTTAGGATGGAAAGAGGCAAATTACTCGCTCATATTCGCCCCTGCTTGAAACTACACACTAAGGATGTTTTACTTGGACTATTTTACCAGACCTGGACAATTATAAAATACAGAAAGACCAGACATTTATCAAACCAGACCTGTTCAGACCAGACCAGAAAATTTCAGTCCAAGTAAAAGTCCAAGTAAAAACATCCTAAGTAACCATACCATAAAGGAACACAAAGAGACAAATTACTCTATGTTGCTTAGTTGTGACTAGCTGAGTCTAGAAGCTAAGCTTAAATAACCCTATTCAGGTATGACTACAGATTCAATTGATTGGCAGTGCAACTACCTGACCAGCCCAATTACCGTTAGAGGCGAATATGAGTACAACATTCTTTATGGTGGAAGTTATCTTTGATTTGGATTTGAATCTATTGAAACTGAACATTCTGTTAAGATGTGTCGTTATGGAGCGTTTTGGAGTAGAGTACTGGGAGACTTGTTTGTAGCTGTTTTTAGAAACAATAAATGCCGGATGAAGTGTTACATGTTCATTAGTTATTCATTCAATTTGTAAAATATTAAAAATCTCAACTTTAGATCAAGATATAGACTTTGCACCATAGAAATTTATTTATTTATTTATTTATTTATTTATTTATTTATTTTATGTATCTTTCTTGTTTCTTTTTTTGGATAAAAATGTATCTTTCTTGTTTCTTAAAATTGGTTTTACGTGTTGACCAGTTTGACACTAAAAAAATTCTGAGAAACTGAAGCAGCTGATTGTTATAATACCAATTGAAGTTAAGTTTGGAAGTTGGAACATTTCTTATCAAGTTATCTGTGTATTGAGGCAATGTGTTAGTGTGTGTGGTTAGGGGTTCTTTGCACAAATGTTAAGGGATCCAAATTGTCCCTAACATTATGATCCCGACTTGCCCAATTGGTGTCAGGTAGTAATGCGTGATTACATACAAAGTAAATTTCATTCGTATGCAGACTTGGAAACAAGAGAGGACTTTTGAGTGTTGACCATTTGACATATTTGTGGCACTTCGTATCGTACTACACTGCAAAGAAAAGAATTTACCAACTATCACAGGCGGGGAAAAAGGAGTGGGAAACAATGGTGAGGCACAACTGCCTAAGAGGGATACAATTATTAATAAGAGAGATTCAAAACAAACATGGGTTGCTAAACCTATTACTAATGCAAAACCTTTAGCAGAACATGTTGGTCATAATTTGGACAAGGGAAAGAATAAAATCACAGAGGTGGTTAGCAGTCCTTCATCTTCTAAGACTGTACCGCAGGATCAGTGGACTACAATTAGTGAGGATACGGATACGGAGGAAGTGTACCATGAAATTGGGTTCCTGCAAAGAAAAGTACAACAATCGGTGAAAATTTGGGTACCATGGAACCAGATAGTACGGTTCAGACAACTCATGAGCAACACAGTACAGATAAAGTCACCAATCTCCCTTTGGATCACATCTTACAGGCTGATATTCCAGGTCTCAAAGTCAATTGTTTGAAGAATATCAGTACAACCCTGGATGATTTACACATCAAACATGAATCAGGCACAAGCTTTTGATCCAGAAATAAATACCAAAGAATATGCATCTGATTCGGAGCATGCTGGGCAGATAGATGATATTCAACATTGGAGAGAGGTTTTACCAGAAAGCAGCAACAAAGTGGATATATTGATAAAAGCAAGAGGTGAGAAAGAGGACTCTGAGCTGCTGGAGGCTCTATCCTTGAACAAAGTTATTGCTCCTGTGAATTTCTGTCAATGATACAGTTGAAGATATCGCAGGTTTTATTACAGTTGGGAAAAAAGGGGGAAGAAAACCAAAGGGATTTCCAGTGAATTATAAGTCACAGCATATGGTTGAAACCCTTTCGACTCTAGATCCTGATACATCCTTTCAGCCTCACATGTGAGACCACATCTTCTGAAAATCGAAATCATAGCATTGTAGGTCCACAAATCGGGCTGACATGCATGAGTTTGCATATAACTAAAAACATTTACAGCTTCCTTCAAGTTTGAGTTGCGAGAGCAACCACTAATAAGAGTGTTATATGTAATTATGTCAGGCCGGAGCCCAGAACTCCTTACCTCATCTAGAAGTTCGATTGCCAACCCTGGCTTCATAGGACCTGACTTCAAGCGTGCATTTATAAGTGTATTGAAACTCACAAGGTCTGGATCACATCCATGTTCGCGCATTAAACTTATCAATTCTTAAACTTTAGCGAATCACCGACGTCTGGCATAAACACCCATCATTGCATTATAGACTTGAACTGTGTCTCCAACAGTTGGCTTCACCCGAGTAAATATTCCATAGCCAATGCTTCCTGGTTGGCTTTTCTGAGCACACAAAGTATCATTGCCAACATTCTAGGATCGGGGGTATACCAGTGCTCAAGGTTCAGCCACTCGTAAATTTCCAATGCTCTTTGCCAGCTAGACTTGTCAACCCACTTCACTACAAAGCAGTAGTCAGTGGGGTTCATCTGCACCAACTTCTTGTCCAACACATCTGCTACAAACTCATCAGATTTTTACCGCAAGATCTTATCAGTTAAAAACTGTACCCTGTTTCGCCATCTTTTGTCCCTCTTCAATGCCCATTTGTTCATTTTCTTAGCCTTCGTCCAACTCCTGATCCTACAACTATCCAAACCATCCGGGCTCTTATCTAACCCGGATTCATTTTCATTTTCCGTACGGGTAAGTGGAGAAGGATACACAATGAACTGGAAATGTTCTGAATTGCATTGACCGTCCGTGAATGTCAAGTGACGGGACCTCTCTGCGAAATGCTTTGTCGGTGCAATATACTCCCTCCGTCCCATTTATATTGTCCCATTTTACCTTTTCGGGAAGTCCTACTTAAATTATCTCATACCATATTTGGCAAAGTTGGTGTGCATCTAAATCATTCTTACTTTATTCTTACTTTATCAATTAATATCAACCACACAAACCCAATTTTCTTAATAATTGTGCCACCCTCTTCCGTCCCAAAATAAATGGGACAGAGGTAGTATCATTTTTGCGTACAATGTCTTCTTTTAACCATCATGTAAACAAACGGACATTTCAAGTGACTTTGCGCTCAACTGAACCCTTTAGTCAGTGAGAATATTGGCAGCCCCACCAAGTTCTTGATTTCTTGTACAACCGCAAGAGTCGATACCATAAAAGAGAGACGAACACATCAGCTCGGGTACACCATAAGATCAAGACGAACAATGTACCACCACACATCGTTCAAAAGGATCGCTTGGCTTCAATAAAAGAAAGACTTGTAATTTCTCCCATTTGGGTTCCACACTGTAACACCATATGTTTGTGTTTTTAGAATCTTAGATTGTTATGAATTATGATCGATTTATTTTTTATGGAATTAGTCGCTACAGTAACCGAGCACTTGTAGTTGTGAATCAAGCTCTTTTGTTCAATTTGAATCAGGAGTGTCAAATTGCAATATATTTTCAATGCAGTTGCATTTTTATTCAAGCAAAGACTATGCACCAACACTTCCATAAGTTCCTTAAATTTACCCAAGCAAGCATGCGCAACATCTCTTACACCAGGGCCCAGGCCAATGAAAAAACAAAGCACGTCAGGGAAAAAAATACTAAACAGATGTAAGCCATGCAAAAATGTGAAGCCAAGGATTCAGATTCATCGAGTGTTTGACTATCCATGTATATATGCTGGAAATGAGCTTAAAAGAAAACATCACATTATCACGCTTCTATCTACTGTTTTAAGTTCATTTACACGTAGAACATTGTCTCCTCCACAATAAAATACCTGACACTACATGAGTTATAGGTGGACAAAATTTCAGCAAGAAAAGAAAAACACAGAATAGGAATTTGTGCAGCCCTTAAGAGACGGGACCTCTCTGCGAAATATATCATTTGGGAAAAGTACAGTACAACATTTTCACAAGTTAAAAAAACTGTAAAATAAAAAACAAATGTGCAAGGAAACTTGCTATTTTTGTATGTCGCACAAGAAGGCAGCAAAGTATGCCAATTAAAGGGCACAAATCAAGTACCGGGAACATTAGAAATTGCATCCCTTTCTGCCTCAGAAGGGCCAGCCGGACTCCCACTGGCAGGGATGTTATTCTCTGCAACGGGAGAAGCACCAACATTTTTAATCACCTCAGCATCGGCCACCACAGAAGAGCTTAAACTTGGTGAACTCGAGCCAGAGGAGCGATCTTCTACTTGTTTATGCCTATTCAAGGCATTACAGTGAGGGCAGTAGTAAGTGATGTAGGGGAAGTCCTCTTTCCTAGCAAGCCCTGCATAAGTTAAATAACCAATCCTTTCATTTGTTACTCCCTCTTTCCCAAATTAATTGTGGTTTTAGACATTTAGCCAAAAAACAATATCCCAAGATTGTGGTTTTAAGACTAAGTGATGCATCTGCTAGACGAATTGAGAGGTGGTGAGAGCAGGGAGGGAGGGAGGGGGGAACCTAGCCAGACATGGATTACGGTGGTCATGAATGATATGATACTATTTGGGTTAGATGACTTTGGAGAGGGCGACATGGAGGGAAAGCATTCGCATGGAGGATTCATCTTTTACTATTTGTCCCCATCTTTCTCTATTTATTGTTTTTAACTTCGATATCACATGTCGCTTCATGTTAGCCGACCCCATACTCTTTTGGGAATAAGGATTAGGTGTTATTGTATAATTGTCATTTCAACTATTAAGAATTCAATACATATCTTGTATTCATATCTTGATTTTGCCCTTATTGACTTTTCCCTTATAATATTTTGCCTTGAAATGATAAAAGAAGCATTTAATATTGAACTGGTAGGATAGAAATACATTTTTGTGATACTACTTATGTATGTGCACTTTTGTAAAACGTCAACTAAATAGGGACAAAGAGAGTAATCCTTTTGTTGTGGTGATGACGATCATCCACACACAAAATCAATCTCTATGACCGGGGGTGGGGGTGTCATACCATTGTGCATGTGACAGTTGCCACAAATAAGTGCATAAGACTGTGTTGGATCCTCGCCCACTAGCAGTGCCGCAATGCGTGAAAGCCACCCTCCATTTTGTGCGGTTGGACCAATTGGGTTGTAATGCTCAACCACCGGTGGATGATGCTCGACCATATCAGAACTGTCTAGCATTTTTTGTTCTTCTTGAGACTGGTGCACTGTTGTTGTGGCACTTCTTTCAGAGCCAGTTGATCTGCTTGCCGGTTGCTTTCGGTTACGAAGTCCAGTGGAATTAGCAAGATCAACATCACTACTCTTCCCACCAGTAGGAGGGGAATTACGTTGGGACTCATTACCCACAAACACCTTCAACCCAGTATCTGCGCTAAGCTTGGAAGCGAGCACGGTGGCAGCTGCAACCTGAGCAGCAGGGTCAGGATCATACTTCTGCACATCATGATGTCATCAAGCACTGATCAAGTTAGTAGAAATAGAAAAACTTGGCATGTTAAATGTTAGAGATCTTTTTTATGAAACGAGTAGTGTATTCACGTTTAAATTTATCATCAGGAAAGAAAGTATATTAATCTCACAAGTCTCAAGGTATCACATATTCGTGGGACCGCAAGTGATATCAGTTCATAAAGCAGTAAACAATGCTGTCAAGGATGTGCAGTTTACTGCAGCTAACAAGCAAATAACTAATACACTGGGAGCAGCAAATCATACACGACCAGGTGCTAGGCCCTACACTGTCCTAAAAACCACAACTAATCCTAATAGTTTTTTTTCTTCTTTTTTCTGTTCTCTTTTTAGCATTGATATCATGGACCGATTCATGGACCTATTAAGGCTTGGATGTTGTTGTTGTAATTCCAATTAGTCCCGGATAGGCTCATAGGCATTAGGCTCTCCTACAGTCCTACGGAACCTAGTTTTTTCCTAGTTTATCCCCACCTTAGTTCTACATAGACCAGGTGCTAGGCCCTACACTGCCAACTAATGCTTAAACAGCATTTGCGGGGCATGAGTTCAATGTATCCAGCCATCCAGGTGAAGGCAAATAAAAAATCACACAATGCTATATATTAAAAAAACTGAACGGGTGATCTTACATGTCAAAGATCACCCACTTATTTTATTCATGAAGCTGCAAAATATAAATAAACTAAAGAAAAAAATGACAATAGTTCGCGACTAAACAATTCGTCTGTCCAGGTAAACAATGATGTAGTGTGTGTAACATTGTTGTTTCAATCTGTTTGGATATCCAAAAAGATTTAAAAAAAGGTAACATTCCAGTTGCCCTTAAGTTCCTTTACCTGAATGAGTTGTTGTGTAATGTAATAATTTGTCCTCTCCTTGAGTTCATCAATCTTTGCTTTCTTTTCAGCACGGAGCCTTTGCAAGGTTTTCTGATCCTTGTTGTCACCTTAAAAGATTGAATACATGGCATAAGCTTTTAACGGTGAGAAAAATGACAACTTTTTATGCAACAAAAGCAAACCACAAAGAAATAAGGCAATTAAATGTGATACCAAATCGCTAATTAAGATGCTTTTCCTTGCTGAACTTACCCCACACACACCCTGATATAGTCACAGAGACTTGATAATCAAGAACAACAAAATTTTCTTAGATATCAAGAATATATGTATGTGAGTGTGTCTACTTGATAATCAAGAAGTCTTTCTTCATGACTCACATAGCACTTTGACGTTAACTCTCTTCTAGTCTCCAATTCTAAGTAATAAATCTTTATCATTTTTTAATTTAGTTTTTGCGACTCAATCAACTTGTTGTGTAGCTTTGGTATATATATCTTTTAATTATTAATATGGAAAGAGTTGACTCTATCATTAGTCAATGATTGTAAACTGGAAAAGGGACTTTGAAATGGGATAGAGGGAGTAATCAACAAAACCCAATGTAGTAGAATTGACTGCAGGATGCGTAAAATTTACTACATTAAATTTCACGAATCAAACTAAACCAATTTGGTGGAGATGCACTTGCCAGACTCAACAACAACATCCAAGCCTTAGTCCCAAAAGAATAAGGCAAGGTACTACTATGTTATGTTCTAGGTTTGGATTTAGGGAAAATAAAAAGAAATCAAGGGACTGTCTTACCCTTAATAAGGCAAGGTACTACTATGTTATGTTCTAGGTTTGGATATGATGGTACATTATTTGGAATTGTTGGTAAGACTTTGTTATGTTCTACGTTTTGGGGGGTTAGCAATAATAAATATGAATAATATAACTTATTAAAAAGATGCACTTGCCAGACTCAAAGGAATAAAAATGCAAATGGAATAATAAATATGCATCACCTATCATTTTTCAAAAGGCACTATCAAAAAACTTATTCAGATTTGCATGGATTAGTATTCTCCTGGCCCACATCATATGAACTATTTGCTTTTAGCATGGCTTTTAATGAAGATATAAAATAACTTTAGTTCTCTTTTAGTCTCAAATACAAAAAACTACAAAAACACATAATCTCACATCTAGAAGCTGCAGTTGTAGCTTTTGTGTATCAGCGTTTTTAGTTTCACCCATGCGCTCCACGCCTAAGCACATGACAGGAGAGCATTTTATTTAAAATTGCACTTTGGGAGTCAAAACCATCTCAAAAAACTCATTCAAAGACACATAATAGTGAGTGACATGCTTTATACAATGTTTCAGGAATCAGTGTGATTTTTTTATTACAAAGAAAGTAGAAAAAGAAAAGGTGCATAAGATAACACACTTTACACAGTTAAATAACAAGAATGAGTTCTTACAAATCCTTTTGAAGCTTCCAAGTGCCGTATATATAGCGAAAGATAACCCGGGTAATAGAAACATAGGCAAAACGCGCAGAGCTCTCAATTTCCAATTTAGGTGAAGTGATCTAGTAGTCATGATAGCATAACCCACCGCAATAGCCTGACAATAATAACATTTTCCCAAGGCAAGACTATTAGAATTGTTTTATTCTCAAAATGATGCAATTTTAAGAACAATAAATGAGGGCTAGCTCTAGTCTTCTAGCAACACATCTTTGACAGGCTTCAAATGTATTAGCCAAATAAACTTCTACTAGTGTTAGCATCTCATCTTTAATTGGTTTATTGACTTCGGTAAATATTTAGCTTACAAGCTCAAATCGCCGTCTCTTGGTAAGATCCAGTATATGGATAAAAGCAAACCCAATATCTGTCATATCCTAGATCTCTCAACTATAAACTATAAGTTCACCGACAACAGCATCTCTGATTTTAACGAACTATAATAGAGGCCAAACACAATATGTATGAATCCAGTGTGACTGATACTGAATGAGTGATGATAATAAGTGAATACTCCCTCTGTCTCTAAATAAACCCCTCATTTGACCGGGCATGGTGGTCAAGATAATGAAAACCATGAAACACATAATGCTTCTTTAAAAGGAAATGGGTGAGAACTTTGGGACAAACCAAAAAGAAAAGTGTATGACTTCTTTAGGGATAGAGTGAGTAGCTACTTAACAATCTAATTTTAGCTAACACTACACAAGAAATAGGTGTTCTTGTATTTTCTAATACTGCCAGAAGTACGGGAACCGGTTCTATCACATCATGCGTTGTACTCCATCTAAAAACAAGGTTCTCATTCACTATTCCTGCTGTCAAGTTAACTCTCTTAATCTATTATGTACATATCAATTTTTATATATAATATGTAAACTTTAATATCCCAAACTTTGAAGGGGTATGCGATAAGTACCCCAAACTTGCACATGTAATATATATACCCCAAACTTTATATAAAGAGTTATATTAGCACCATAATTATATATTTTCACAAATATAATTTTATGGTGTTAGACTGTTAGTACATAATTTAAAATAAACAAAACAATTATGAAGGATGCAATTAAAATTAAATTGCACCGGATGTAATATTATTTATTTCACAAATGAAATTTTAGAATGTTGATTGCATTCTAACAAGGCTTAGAGTATTTTAAATTATGTAAATATTCCAATAAATTTGTATTTGTAAAAAACATACAATCATGTATGGTGCGAAAATATAAAGTTTGGAGTATATATATTAAATATGCAAGTTGTGGGTACTTATCTCCCACCGGCCACCCCATTTAAGTTTGGGGTATTTGAATTATTTTCCCCATAAAAAAAAATTATTATTGGGGGAGAATTAAACAGAACTGATATGAGTCTTATTGGGTTGGATGAGAGTATGACTTTGGAGAGGGCAAAGTGGAGGGCGCACATTCGTGTGGAAAATTGATCTCTTTTCTTTTTTTCCTCTCTCTTTTTCTTTTATCGTTTATCTTCTTTGTCTTTTTATGTTCTTATGTTATTTTTTTTATCTTCTTGCTTTTTTATGCTCTTTTATCCTTTTATCTTTTATCTTTCTAATATTATTATGTTATTGTTATCTTATACTCCCTCCGTCCCTAAATAAAAGCATCTGTTTCCTTTTCGGGCCGTCCCTAAATAAAAGTTCCCTTTCCCTTTTTGGCAAACAAAACAGTGCAAAACAGTGCAAAACAGTGCAAAACAGTGCCAAACAGTACCAACCAAACCCACTTTCTTAAGATGTGTGTAAAATGAATGGATACTTTTATATAGGGACGGAAGGAGTATTTATTTATCTTTATCTTATTTGTTTTATCTTTTTTTCTTCTTCTTGTTTATTGTTCTCTTTTTGGCATCGATATCATGGATCGAATCATGTTAGCCGACCCCAAAATCTTTTGGGATTAAGGCTTGGATGTTGTTGTTGTTGTTGGGGGAGAGTTAAACTTTATATCTTTATTGTCATTCAAACATGGGAAAATTCCCGAAATAGGAGTAAAAAAGTTTGAAAATTCCAAAATAGGACTGTCATGTTTTTATTCCCAAAATAGGAGTAATTATTGCCAAGTTTGGAAAATACTGTCATGTTTAAAGTCTGGTACTGCTAAAACATGACAGTAATTAGTCCTATTTTGGAAATAAAAACATGATAGTCCTATTTTGGAATACACAAACATTTTTAGTCCTATTTTGGGTAATTTCTATTCAAACATCTTAAAACAAAACAAGAACTTTGATATTGTAAAGAGGGCTACAGAATAAGAAAATCCCTGAGAATTTCAGCATAGTAAACTTTCGGGCAAGGAATACTATAGCATAAAAGCTCTGTCAATAATTACTAACTTCCTGTTAAATACCAAAACTTGAGATTTTGATTATACATGGCCACAGGAAAATAAGTGCAAGATCATGGTTACTCCAAGAGGGAACAATGGTTGGAAATAAAATTCCCATTAAAATTAGTGAGGAAGACTTTTTGTATCATTGTATGTTGAAAATGTAAAACTTACGGTCATGTTTTCATAATGAAATAAAAAGGGAAAATTCACGAAAAAAGAGTAAATAAGTTTGAAAATTCCAAAATATGACTGCCATGTTTGTATTCTCTAGGAGTAATTACTGCCAAGTTTGGAAAATACTGCCATGTTTAAAGTCTGATACTGCCAAAACATGACAGTAATTTGTCCTATTTTGGGAATAAAAACATGACAATCCTATTTTGGAATATACACACGTTTTTAGTCCCATTTAGGGTAATTTTCCAAATAAAAACATAACACAACATAGAGGTTATAGAGGCTTTAAAGTGATAACATCTGCTTGATTGCCTTCAAAATGACAGGGTAATAAAGCATTACCTCAAACAGTACAGAAAGTATGATGAGGTTTCTCAACATCCTACTAACTCTTTGAGCACGCGTTGTTATTCTCTGAATAACAGCGGCCTCCTCTTTGGAAATGTGTTGCAGTCTCTTCTCAAAATCGTCTCTACCAGATCTAAAGAGTGCATTCCACAATCTTGATATCAGACCTTTCTTTTTCTTCTTATTTGTCTTTACCTCGGTCTCAGTATGTGTGGCAGGCACTTTGGCATTTGTATCCCCGGCATCCTTTTCAAAGTCCTCGTCCATTTCCTACAAAATACAATTGAAAGTAAAAACACAAATAATGCTCAAATATAATAATCAGGTTGGACCATAAGATCTCTGGTTAGTTGACCAGTATATTAATGGCATTATACACTGCCATTAAACAAAGTGGTAACACAGAGTCTTATTTCATCTCCTTCACACTACTTTACTTGGGGGGGGGGGGGGATTCAGCACAGACATTGATTAGATTATTAGAAAACAAATATGGTTAAATAGCAGTAAAATATATGCAAACCCAGAAATAAAGGATAGAAAAACAATGATAATATCAACCACTTATAAACACATCACTGTGAGAACTCATAGAGTCATAGATTTTAGTTTTTTTATATCATCTGTTCAAGTATTCTGTTGCCAATACTGCAATCCGATATGCACGCAATTGGCAAGGTGGAAGACAACATATTTTCTTAAAATACGGAGTAGATTGATAAGGAAAATTGACATAGAATATACTTCTTCATACTATATATTCCTAATTCCCTATAAACATCTACAAAATAGGATAAACTCATAAACATACACGCATATACAATATATGCATACATAGATCTACACGAAATACACATATACACAAAATCTTAAATACAGATAAGGTAATCAGATGTATACGTATCCGTAGATACACAAATTCTATTAAGCAAGGCAGACCAACCTGGGGGGAAATGGTGTGATGGGCACAAGCAACTCGGACACAAGTAGGCCAAACCTCTGACAGGTGAAATTTAAGCGGCGGACGATTGACCGGACTCCGATGGTAGTGTTAGGATAGAAAGGTACAAAGTTCGAAGTGGAGTTTTTCCAGGCAGGGACGAGATAAATAGCAGACGGAATAAGGGCGTCAAGAGCTAAGTCGGCAGAGGTGAATCAAGTGAGAATGGGGTTCAAGAGAGTGGATGGACTATTGGGGGCTTGATCGGAAGCGTGGTGCCTGGAGTAACGATGGAGCCGACGAGAGGAAAGCTTTGGAGTGCAGCTTCTTTTCAGATCTCCGGGACGGAGGATTCGTTTACTTGCTTTGAACGTTTTTTCATCTCTTTTAGTTTTTTCTTCTTTTTTGAAAAAAAAAACAAAAACAAATACGGATTATGAAATGTTTTGTGAGTTTTTTCCTAAAATAATGTTAAATAAAAAAATAATTTTCATAATAAAGTCAAGTTAAAAATATTTCCTAAAATATGGTTCCCTTAAACCACTTAAACCACGGTAAAGAGAACCGTCCCTTCAAGCGGCTTACGTAAAACTAAAGCTACTCAAGTTACAAGCAAAAAAGGGAAAACATGAGATAGTGGTCCCACAAAAAATAAAACCACATATCTATTTTAAAGTGATATATCTTTTTTATTTGTACTCTGATTATTACAAAAAATACACCAAAATTCATAGTACAAATAAAATAAAACCACATATCTATTTTAAAGTGATATATCTTTTTTATTTGTACTCTGATTATTACAAAAAATACACCAAAATTCATAGTACAAATAAAAAGATATATCACTTTAAAATAGAAATGTGGTTTTATTTTTTGTGGGACCACTATCCCATGTTTTCGTTTGTTTGCTTGTAAGTTGTAACGCGAGTCGCTTTACGTTTTACGTAAGCCACCACTTCAAGTGGCGGTTCTCCTAACCATGGTTTAGGGGAGCAGTATTTTGGGAAATATTTCTAATTCTCTCCTAGATAAGTTTTTCTTTTAAAAATACTCAACTATTCTTAAGTTCTCTATTTTTAACCTTTTTTCATACGGTACGGAGTAGTGAGCGCCGTTTTCAACTTTCTCTCTCTAGGGTTGCCGTCTCAGGCAACGACTAGCTTGTTTTGTCCGGCGGTGTTCGCTTAGGCGAGTACGGCGTCGAGAAGGTTGTTGTTATTGGAAGAAGGAGGGGATCACAAGGAGGATTTTGGCAATGTTCTCGCAAAAGGTTAAAGCAACATGTTTACATGGACAGCTTCGTGGAAAAATACAAGAAGATGGCGATTGGAGCAGAGGAAGAAGAACTAGATCTAGATGAAGCTGATGTTGAGATTGTGGCGGATAAGCGGCGAGCACGTCCCCCTCCTGAGCCGCCGCCATGGAGAGCAAGTAAATCTAGGATTTGGAAGAAGTCTTATCTTATTTGTTTTGTTTATTTTTCCAGTAATTTTTATGCCTATTTTGTTATTTGCTTTTTCTTTATTATTCGAGTTTGTAAGACGTTGATTTTGGATGTGGGTGACAACGGATTTGGGGTAACCGTTTTTGGATCATTTGTGCCCATTAATGGATCAGCGAGTTATATTGTTTCTGATGAGGTGATTAACTCTGATTCTGGTTCGCGGGACAGCGGTTGTCAGGATTCTATTTGTCGGATTACCCATTATCTAAATGTTGGGATTTCAATTTAAATCAAATTCTTCCAAAAAAACCCTTTTTCATACTTTTGGCCTACATTTCTTACTTTTCTACACTATTCATTATTCTATTACTTTTCCTTTAAATATTGGGACAACCCTTATTGTAGAAAATTTTCAACATGGAAGGAGGAGAAATCATGAATCATAATTTTCCATTGGTGCAAAACTAAATTATCAACAAATCTACCAAAATAGAGTAACAAACAATAGACTAGTTTGAAATTATAAAACTTCTATGCTCGCACAAAACCCTAGGCGGCTATGGTTGTTCTCGGGTTTAGTTAGTGTGTAGGAATCCTGAAAGAGCAATCCATAGTCTTGGCTTTTCTGAGGCTTCCCTTCTCTTCTCTCAAGATTTTCAGATCTTCTCTTAAGGTCTCACCTTTGTGCGGCTTAGGGCAAATTATACCGTGGGATCGGCCCACCATGCGTATGGTGTGCCGATCCTAATATTGTATCGTTTCATTAATTAAAAACCATCCAAATCATATTTTCTTCTCCGCCAAGCTATCCTCCTGGGATCGTCGGACCTTCTCCTTTATCCCCTCCCCTTCTGCCGCAGGGTTTTAAACGACGAAACTTGTTCCAACTTTCAAAGATGAGAATGAATATTTCTAGTGAATTGAGATATGTCGGTTAACTAACTTTGCTTCCACCGAGTCACCGACTAAGAAAAGTTGTATGCTTTGTTTTTTTATTTTTGGAAAGATCATGTTTTCAATTTCTTTAAGCTTTTGACCATTGAAATCCAGGATGTTCACAGCCAAGCTGTGCATTAAAATGATTATTTATGTGTATTAATGATGATATTATTATTCCTTTAAATTTAATATTAGAGTTACATTTGATAGTATATGAAGTTATATCTTATTATTCGAGAGTTACATTTTATTATTCGCGAGTTACATCTATTTATTCCTCCATAAGTTACATCTTGCTTACACGTGATTCACATTTGCCATAATGCAAGTTACACTACAAAACAATGTGAGTTACACAACAAAATAAACCCCTATTATTCAAACAAAAATGGTTTTTATTAAAAATCATTTTAATGGCTTTGATATTAAACACAAATCATATACACTGTTTATGTAAAATAATTCGTCAATTAGACTCTTTTTTCTTTATTTACATCTTATATTCTATTTTAGATAACTTAGATTTCAATTTGACTCAAGTTACATTTCTTATCAATGTCAATTACATTGCTTTAAACACAAGTTACACCAAACCTATTGTTGCAATAAAAACAAAGCCATGGGAGCAGGATGCTCAAGGTGAACCGCTCCCACGATATAGGAACTGGTATAGGAACTAGCGGCTTAGTTAGTGTTTTTTGGCCGAGAGTTTGTCACATTCCCAATTCATATTCACAAATGAAGGATAGAAAAAACAATGATTATATCATATTTCACTACTATTTAATCATATTTGTTTTCTATTGGGATTATCTGTAGTTTTTAGGACAGTGGGTCAGTCCATGCAGTGGCGTGTATGATTTGCTGCTCCCAGTGTATTAGTTATTTGCTTCTTGTTAGCAACGGTAAAGTGCACATCCTTGACAGCATTATTTATTGCTTTATGAACCGATATCACTTGCGGTCCCACGAATATGTGATACCTTGAGACTGTTGTGAGATTAATATACTTTCTTTCCGGATGATAAATTTAAGAGAAAATTGTCAAATAGGACCCCATATTCTGACCAATTCGTCAATTATGCCCTCGCACTCTCAAATCACCCAATTAAATCCTTATACTCAAAGTTAACACGTGTAGAGAAAGAGGTTGCTTCTGTTAAAGCTAGTGTCGATAATGATGCAAAGGTCAACAAAAAGAATAGGAAGTTGTGTTCATTAACAACCTAATGAACGACTGGACTAAATTAGCACTCAATTACCGAGTTCACATACCTGTGAGTCACAATTACACTATGAGGTACTCTTTACTCACCCGACCCCAACTTAAGGTATTGAATTGACACTTTTCTCCAATGCTCATTTGCAATGTATTTGCTCTATAATTTTTATCTACATACGGTAATTTCCATAGTCATAATGCGTTTTAGATCACTTACGGAGTTACGGTACATTTATTGACCTACAAATATCTGTATCTGAGGATGGGATGTTTTTGAGCGAGAAAATGACCACAAATCACACTTCTATTTATATATAGATAGATACCCTTTAAGCTTAATATGTAGTAATGTAGTACATAGTATATCTTTTATTAGTAAGGATATTTTTACTTGAACTTTGATCTGTCCCAGACGAGACCATATCAGAATAGACCAGATTTGGATATTTGTAAAAATACAAAGAAAGCAGATCAAACCAATTCAGACCAGATCAGACCGAAAAATTACAATCCAAGTGCAACGAATTTCTCCATTTCAGCCTCGGTGGCTAAGTTTCAAGTGAAATTAATTCGAGTTGTGATACTTTCTTTTTTCCAAATTGAACCTTCTAATTTCTCCATGTGACCTCCCATACAAACAAGAGCTGGGTAAATGAATACGCTTTATACTCGTATTGTTAATCACAGTTTTGATTATCTATATACAAAATATGAGACCTCAAATAACCTTATGATTATGCTCACGCCTTACAACTCCAGAGGGCCTCTAATCTTAAAATCACAATTGTAAGACACTCTGATATGCATGCCCTAATTAGTAGTGCATAAGTGTATGTTTTTATGTCGGATTTGTATGTATTGTTTATCATTTTATTTAGTTTATAAACATTTGTGTGATTTAAGTTGTAATTGTATTTTAATCTTCATTTGTAAGTTGTAAAGTAGAATTAGGAATTATGGTGTTGAAAAAGAGGACTTTGAAGTGAAGAAAAAGGAGGTTGGATTGTCCAGGAGCTAAAACCTGACCGGGTATGACACTTGACCCGGTCGGGTATGATTTAACAGACGAAACTGCCTGGAAAATCACTGGACCCGGTCGGGTCCCCTACTTGACCCGGTCGGGTCAGATGTGATCCGAGACAAAACCACGTGCTGAAGATCACTAGAACGTGGAGGATATCTGATTTTGACCAGACCCGGTCGGGTAGGCACTTGACCCGGTCGGGTACCCGACCAAAGGTGTTGAAAAACACCTATAAATAGCACACTTTTTCTTCTCTAAAAATCATCCCTTCTTCCATACTCTTAAGCTCAGTTTAGAATAGCATTTCTTTATATTTTTCTAGCTATGTTTAGTCTCCAAATGAGGAGCTAAACTTCCATTTCTTGGTGTTGCTCTTGAAGCTTGTTGATTATTAAAATTGTGAGTTATTTTCTTAACTTCTTTCCTTGAATATTAATTATTAGTTCTTTCCTTAATACTATCTCTATATTAATGTTGGTGAGTGTTGCTAAGATGACAATTAGTTAACATCTTGACATTAGTTAGAGTAGTATTTTCTTCCTCTATATTAATGTTGGCGAGTGTTGCTAAGATGACAATTAGTTAACATCTTGATATTAATTATAGTAGGATTCACCTCTTTAATGATATTCTTCCTTGAAAATTAATTAAATCCTATTCATATTTCATATTAATATTTTGAACATTACTTAAAGGATCAACTAGTTTTGTTTCATATATTAATTATTACTAGAAACGATCAACGAACCGATGATTAATCGTTGATAGTTTCACA